TAGAAGGTCTACAGCTAAGCTTCCGGAACTCACTAAGACTCCTACGCTATAGACCTACAGATCGAACCCCTGCTGCCTATGGACCTACGACAGGCCTACCAAGTGCCTACGAATACACAGGTCACAGGTTCAATTCCCGGGGTCTACACAGATACTGTACATGGGTAGGGTGAGGTCTAGGGATCGAACCCTGGGTACTGCATCCGCTACTGCTAAAAGGTGAAAACCGTTTCAGAGAGGAGGCTTGGACTGAAATTCCGATGCACCTGTTCCTGTCAGCAAATGTTCGGGCATCGCTAAATGTACCGTAGGTACTGGTCCTTCGAACTGGACAGATATGAGAACGATAGGAGCGACGAAGGGGCAAGCATCTTTCTATGGCATAGGAAAACCCTGCTGTGACATGCACAAGATAGCTATGGCAGCTAAGCATGATATACGATGCATTTTCAGGACCAGGGCTTCACTGAGCAATTCGACTGCTAAGAATTCCTGTAATTGGTAATTGAGGAACTACCTTCTTCCTCTGAACATAATGCATATGTGTTGTAAACGAATAACACATAGGGTGCTTTCTATTCGAATACAACACACCTGCGTTCTATTCGAATAGACCTAAATTTGGAATACAATGCATATGTGCTCTATTCGTTTTTTTTTTCAAATTTGAAAACTCGAATACAACACATGTGTTACGTTCGGGGGAAGAAGGTAGTAGGAACAACCCATCATATCATAATACAAACTATCCATCATAATAGGAACGATCCATCATTGATTGGTGAACTCACTTTATGTCCTGCTGAGAACACAGTTGCAGTAAAGTACGATACATTTCTCGGTTATGCTGGCTAAGGTTAGATTATGATAAATTTTGAAATCTTAACTTAGCTCCAAAAGTGAAATGATCTGTCATGTGTGCTTGCAGGTGAGATCTTATTTGGAGCAGATATGGACGTTGGCAATTCGAGCACTCGATGACCTGAAGGAAACAGTTAGAAATGCAGCAGGAGTTTTATGTCGTACTCTGAAATCGCTGACAGTGAGACTGTGCGACCGCTCCCTGACTCCAGAGCTGGACGTCGAGCAATGTCTGGAGATCATTCTTCCGTTCTTGATGAATAAAGGGATTGTCAATGATGCTACTGCTGTTCGTGCACTTGCAGTGGATACCCTGACGAAGATTACCAAGGTAAGTTTTTATTTATTTGTTATCGAGGGGAGTTGTATTTATGCCCATGGACTTCTTTCCCTTCTTCTTAGTTTCTGGGTGTTTTTTGCCCCTAAAAAAGGGAGTAGCACCTACCTAGTATTGTTGTATACTTTGATATTTGAACTTGTGATCTGTCTACCAACAGCTCCATGCTCGACATCTATCGCGTCGGTTCTGTAACCCTTTTTTTCCTGGTTTTTGACAAAATGGCGAAGAACTGCGTAATAGTTTCGATTGGACCGTTTGGTTTGTTAAACTTTGTTCTGATGTTATTGCTGTTTTGGATTTAGAAAATGAATCAATTGGCTAAGAAGATTTTCATGACCGGCCGGTCACCCGGGTGTGACGCTCGGGATACCCGGGCATGGAAATAAAATAAAAAAATGGCGGTGGGCAGGGTTGCCGGCGTTCGGGACGGGCCGAACGCCCGAACCCGAACGCCCGAACGTTCGGCATCCCCTCTCGATGAATGCGGACCCAAAAAAAAAAAAAAAAAAAAAAAAAAA